ATTAAAATTTTCATAACAAAATAAGGAAGAACATCGTAACAATATTTTATTTATAGTTACTAAAATAGCATAGCATAGTAAACAATTAAACTCAATCCATGTGTATCATCACTCACCATAAATAAATTGATCAAAGATTAATCTACGACCAATCGAAATGCAACTTAGCGATTCCAGCTGGAGAGTTGCACACAGTGTTCCTATTATTCCAGGCATTCCCTGGAATTTCCCGGGTGCTAGCCGAAATGGGATTGTCTGTGTCCGTACGTTCCAATCTTGTTCAGTTGCCGGTAAACCCCTTCAAGTCCTTTGTTTTTGTTTTGCGAATAACCGTTGCCGAGAAACTTCAATTAGGAATCAAAGATTTAAATAAAGGATTGGGGAAGGATGGATTTGAAAATTGAGGGGGTTGAAGTATATGATGTGGATTGAGAACTAAGACTGGGTTGCATCATCTAACTAACAAACGTTAAAAGTCTGTCAAATTCCATACAAAAACACCGGTTATTGTTATAGTTACGATTAAAATATGGGGGTGCAACTCATCTTTAGTGCCTTCAAAATTTTTAGTGTCAATATTGAAGGTCAATTCTTAAATACTTAATATGATAAACGACACGCCGATTAAAAACTCAAAAAATTGCTATTACAATAAATCAAAAAGTAGTGCATTTAGTGGAAGCTCTATCCGAATAACTATTTATTGGAATATCTATTTTGACCAGACTATAAGGATAAGGGAATCTAACTTTTAAAGACTTAGGCTGGTTTGCACCATCTTATACTTTAAACTTTGACAAACGTAAAAAATCTGTCATATTCCATGAAAAAAACACCGGTTATCGTTATAGTTACTGTCAAAGTTAGGTGGTGCAACTCAGCCCTAGACTTCTTTGAAACAGCGCTATCAATTCGCATCTTCGATGCACAAAGGCACAAGTAGCATAACAAAATTAGCAGTTGCGCCTTTGTTTCACAGAACGTGCAAATTGTTTTGTATTGTATTTCAATTGTTCCTTGACTGGTACACAAACAATGATAGGTTAGCTTTGAGAAATACCGCTACATTTATATATTTATATTACATCACAATTGCAGTAGTGTGCTATACTGACCATCGAAATTTAGTACCACGTATAAAAAACTAAGTTTACTTAATCATGACGAGTATTTATCTTTTATTATTAGTTGATGAGCAATACGCAAGGTGTAAAAAACCAATTTCATACGAAAGTGTCAAATACTTAGCATGAAGAAATCTAAAAAAAAGTATTATCGCATAAAAATTATCCATTGTCATAAGCCAGGGCTATTTGTACAATATCATTTTAATAAATGATCTTGCAAAATAGCATAATACTCGTTCAGGAATAAATTGTTAAGTAGCTTTGATGTGCCGTTTCTGCATAAATGTGCAATAAATAGCTACTAATTATGTTCCAATCCAAATCACATTTTTACCTAACTTAAAAAAGTAATTCATCTTCTCTATAACACGACTTCAAAAGAAAATGCCGATTATCTTGTCCGTAAACAATGCAATGCCGATAAGCCGTCGCCGGATCAGCGTTTATTGAACGAATCCTAAACTTCAACTTTGTCCCTTGCGCTTACATTTAGCTGGACTACCCTTAGGGTGGATAAGCGTTACATTTTTATGCAGGACAAATGAGGACACTCTTATTTTTCCCAATAATAAAAAAAAAATGTTGGCAAGAGTTATGGGACTATTCCTACCTCTCTTTCCCACCGCTGCAACTCCTGTGTAGCCAGGATCTACAGCTTGACCGCCAATAAAAACCCATCGTTGGCAAGCGTTAGAGAAACTATTGCTATTCTAATAGTATTAAAATATAAAATACAGTAATAACTAAATTTGAAAACTGCATTGATTCGAATTTAATTTATTTTATTAGGTCTAATCCTAATGACCACTATATTGCCGGACGACATTGCCCAAAATAAATGACACATAATTTGGTGATAAAGTTTATTGTCATAAAAAAATAGCTTTGAAAGTAATAACATCGTTGGTCACACATAAGAAAGTGGTTAGTGTAGTCACGAGTGATAATACGACAAGTTTAGCTTAGCTATAAAAGCTTAGCTTTTACCCAATTCCTAATATGATAAGCAGCTTCAGAAATATTTTATTTATCAATCTAGCATGTTTGTATTCTTCTTAACTGTTGAAAATGTCCGTATATTTTAAAAAATATTTGGTCACCCCAACTTCTTGGTTCGATCTTATCACAATATACGTTTAGAGCCTCTTTCCATATAAATTGCTTGTTTTTGTAATAAACAGTGCGAGGAAAGGCGATAGCTCACAAGGGAGGTCCATCTTTGAAGGTCTGGTATTTGCAAGTTTGCACTGGGGCTGGGGAATTTTCATTTTGGCAACCCTAGGCCTGGATCTTTGGATCGGGCCTATTTGGGCGTTTCTCTGGATGTTATAACGCTCTACTTGCTTCTAATCTTGTCAGGCATGTAGTGAATAGATTTTAAGGATTGCTTAAAGAAAGCTATTGTTATTTGTTTTGCGAGACGTTTTTTGTTGTTTTGAAAGCTTTGGAAAGTAGATAGTGACGTAGTTGAGTAGAAGGGGAAAGCTTTTTCATGATGTTACTTCTTAGGTTATTGGTACACAAGAAAAAATAATTTGTACATAAACCCATGACAAGAAATCTCTAAAAAAAATATTTTGGATCGATAAATGTTTCTTCAACTACGGTACTATTGTAGTACTTAGTAAGTGCATAAAATAATACCCGCTAATTTCACGTATGACTTTAGTTGTTTATGTAAGCTGTAGATTTATAGATATTGTTATTGTTTCACTGTATGTTTTCCGAACAAAATAAAATAAAATAAGACTTTTTTATTTAACAAGTGTCGTTTTTATAAGTTTTTGTTGTGAATGCTGTATACATTGTAACCTTGTTGGTGATCAAATAAAGAAATAAATAAAATAAAAATAAGAAATATTTTTTTGTAGTCTGAAAACCAAACTGGATATTTTTAAATTAAAAGCACCCTATATTTCATGACGCTGATCAAACTGTAAATCATAAGGATCTAATTCTTTGAAGCGTACAATTTTATCGTCACAGCGCACGAGACTTAAATTCTCTAACACCGGAAGCGGGGCCCAATAACAATCAGGCGCCATTTTTCAGTGTTTATAAGCTCGCTGCAACGTACGGAGCCCATTTTTCTTGGCATTTATCAACTAACCGTGGTACGGTGAAACACTGCACTTGGACGAGGAAACATTGTTCGCGCACTTTCATTTAAACTGTTTTAGTGGATGGAACGCGTTTTTCATGGTTACAATGTGTGGATGCGACGAACGTTAGAGTTGAGTGTGCAGATTTATTGCTAGTGTATACGTTTTTAAATTGCACTTAGTTAATTAAGGCGATTAGAGTCCTCAATGACCTTGAGCGTTTGACCTTCACGCTTCGCACAACACCCGCGCACCCCGCACAAAAACTCCGATTTGACACCGATCAAAATTACACGGGCATAGGTAGGTACAGAATAGAAGCTCTTTCCTCATACATTACTGCCTATTATTTTAAACTTGAATTGATGAACCTTGATGTCGATGTCATTCAACACAAGCGCAAGTGATGGCCCGAAATGTTCTAAACTAGCGCACCGTATAGTAAGGTATTTATATTTAACAAAAATCACAAATCCATGAACATTTTGTATGGGATAATATTTTTTATTTTATTTTATTTAGCTTACAATTTATGTTGTGTGTAAACTATGAATTAGTTAGACCCATTTCCTGACGACAACCGATTGAGTTAAAATTTCGGATACACATGCAATTCGGATGACAATGTAATATTACGATGACATGGAGCTGATCTGATGATAGAGCTGGAAAGTCAGTGACCCCATAGGAACTCCGGAATATAACGACTCCATCGAGTTGAGACTCGATTGATTTGTATTTATTTATTTACATTAGGGTACTAACTATGTAAAGTTACGGTAAACTACTTTACAAATCACGAGTACCTACTTCAATTCTATATGTAAACAGGGTCTGATGATGGAGCTGGAATGTGGTTATAAGAATTCTTCGAATTATTACGAGCTACATTAGAGAAAAACGATGCTACTACGCCGTAGTAAATTCCGCATCATAAATACTAAAATGCTTAAATTAAAATTAAAAGAAAAACATTCTTTAAAAACTTGTTTTTTAAAGAATGTTTTTCTTTTAATTTTTTAGTTTTGTATAGGTACTCTAAAAAGAATAGCATAAAAAATAAAGATTCTATCATTACTCAATTTATATGACTAAAAGCTCGTCGCGAGATTTACTTGTGTAAACAAAAATACATTCATAACGTAACTTAATTTTAAAATAAATCTAAAAAAAACACGGATAGGTAAATAATAGGTACATCTACAAGAACTTACCTAAATCTCGTAACAAGCTTTTAGTCAGATAAATTGCGTAAGGACAGAATCTAGGTATACAGTGTGAGTCACGTTAAAGTGTACATATGAAAATATATGAAACTAGACCTATTTTTATCGACAAAAAAGAGGCCAAATTTTTTTTGAGATTTTTTTTAAATTTATTATAGAAATGTTTTTCTTCCAATTACTTATTTTAAAGAAAACGTAATAACTTTTAAACTAAGAGGTATATCCTGATAAAATAAAAACAGTAATAATGCTAAATAACAGACGATACTAAATAAATACATAAAATACTCCTAAAATGCCAACAAATAATAAAAATTGATACTTTTTGAAAAAAATCTGCTTAAAAATTCGTGTTTTTTGAATGGCCGTTATATTGCTGTCGCGACTGTGCGACGGGCGCCCGCAGTCAGTGTGCGAGCGCGACAGCAACATAATTACGCGCGAGCGATAAGGATGGGTAGCTTGGAGTCATTGGACAAAATTCTACGTGCTCGCAGACCAGACTATAGAAATAATGAAATCTCCGCATTCTCCGCTCCGCCTTGATGGTAAACCATGACTTTATTATTTGGCAGGTACGCGCTATATACGTGGATCAGTTCCCGATTGAAGTACGGCACTGCCTTGCCTCATGGATCGAGACCAGGATTTGGTGAGTTTTCTTCTGACCTCAGGGTTTTTAGCCGACTTTAAAAACTGAAGAGTATAGGTACTTCCCATGAATTTAGAACTCGTTCAGTAGTCCAGAATCCTGGAAGTACGCAGTCGTAATGTAATTGATATAGATATAACACACTTTATTGTACATACAAGAAGAGAAAAAAGGAGAAAATAGATTTTCAACTTTATTACATTACTAGCGGCCGTAAATAAAGGTATTTAACAAAAAAAAATAAATGAAATGAAATATTCTTATGTTCATAAAAAAATGGATTTAAATGTTAAAAGATTTTGTCAAATCGGTCGAGTACTCAGTTTCGAAGCCTATCAGCCTATTCAATACAAAATTACAAATGTCACTGTAAAATTGTGAATTCCGTCAGATTTAAATCTGACGTAGGTAAGATTACAATCTAACATAACCTAATCCACTGTTTCGATGTACTACTGCGTCTACTGGTTTCTATGTATTTATACAGGGTGTCCCAGAATGGGTGAATCAAACTGATAGGGGAGGTAGTTCTACTAATGTACTATCCCTTAAAATATGAAAAAAAAGCGCATAAGGAAACCAAAAAAAATTTTTTTTTAAAAGTGAAAATAAATTAGCTTTGCCTAAGTATCTGGCTATAATTGCTGCGTTTGGAGTTTATTTCTACTTTTTTCTTACTAATATTAATTGTACATGATCGCTTCGTTTATCTGTAAACAAACTTTTGAAAATAAAGACTAAATTTCGAGTTTAGAGCACTTTATTTACAAAAAATTCCGAACTCAAAAATTTTATTGGGCTTTCAAATAACACCAATATTGTTGGGGCACCATGTTTGTGTCAGAAGAAAATCTTTAAGGTTCACGTCGCGGAAGGTGCGATTTATTTGATGTTGATTGTATTATAAACTGACGGAGTTAACAATTTCACGTTGAGACAAACATTCAAATCTTTCTTATATCCTGCTAAAATCATAACTGGCGAACATGTTCGATGCATCTGTATTATTGTATAAGTACTGTAGCAATATAAAATTGTACTGTAGTGTAGGTAGTAGGTATTTGCATTTTTTTTGCGTTACACATTATTTAGCAGATGCAGTGCTTTTCTTTAAGGCTCAGAACAGACGGTGAAACGCAACTGCAACGAAACTGCAACTTTTTTTTTTTTTTTTTTTTTTTTATCCACAACGAGGAAGCTCTTGGCCTGTATCTCACCTGATGGTAAGTGATGATCAGGCCGAAGGTGGAAGCGAGCTTCACCCGGAATCCTCAACCACGGAGGAACTGGCTATCTTACCTCTTACTGCCGGAACACAACAATGCTGTGAACATTGTTGTTATGGCGACAGACTTAGGTAAGATGGTGGTAGCTAGCCAGGCGGACTTAGAACAAGCCCTACCACCAACCAAACCGCACAGAAAAATCTGCCCCCACTGGGAATCGAACCCGGGACCTCTGCGTCTGAAGCAGGTGGTCTTACCACTAGACCACAGAGGCGGTTAACTGCTAGTTACTTTTGAGTTGCATCTAAGTTTCTACCATAGCGTCCGTTGAGAGACCACACATGACGCGACCAGTTTGAAACTTTCAGTTTCAGTTTCATTCATCAGAATCATCAGAAAGTTGCAGTTTCGTTGCAGTTGCGTTTCACCGTCTGTTCTGGGCCTAAGTGATGGGGCACTTATACATGTAATTTTGGTTATGTATTTAGATTTTAATAGTGTACTCATTGTTGAAAAACCAAAATAAATAAATAACATAGTTTACTCAATTCCGTTCCCAGGACGCCCGAACCGGAAGAGCAGCAGCGCTACTTCGTCGAGGAACTGGTGCACGAGATAAATACTCATGCGGAGCTGTTGCTGTCATCCGATATGTTCGTCACGAGGATGAAGCTGTTAGAGGCTGCTAAAAATATACACATGCAGTACAAGTGAGTACAAGTAACCATAGTATGATACTAGCTCCTGTCACGTGATAATTTTCTGTGATGTGATATTTTAATGGTCGTGATCATGCAATATAAGTGAATATGATACTAGGATCACGTGATACTAGGTACGGTCACGTGATATTTTTAATGGACGTCACTAGGATGTAGCTGCTTGAAGCGGCTAAGAACATCCACATGCAGTACAAGTGACCATAGCTAGTACCAGATACTAGCTCCTGTCACGTTGGCGACTGAGTTTCTTCCGCCACTTCTTTTCATCACCAGCCCTTAATATGGTGGTGGTGGGGCGCTATATTTGGGACGTGTATACGTTCCCTGGAAATGACCTAAGTAACTACTGAATGACTTACTTGACTTATGGTCCTATGTCCCCTAGATGGGACAGAGGGCGTCCACAACAGTCCTCCATCGCGTTCGGTCTTGAGCTTCGCGTTTGAGTACTGAATGTACGATTTATCTCTTACCTATATCTCTACAAGAGTGGCGTTGTCAGTAGCATTAATTAAATGTTCATCAATGAACGATTTGATTTGATTTGTTTTCAGAGTAGTGACGTCACGCGACTTTTAACTCGATTTAGCTCTTGAAATAAGAAAAAAAGGATAAATACGTGTCCAATACACTAGCTAGGGCTATTTTTCAAGGGGGTCTGGCCCCAGACATGCTACATTAGTATCGTGACTCATGAGTAGGTACTATCATTTTAGGGTGCCACCCCCTATATACACGCTATTGTCTTCACAACGCTACTGACATCTAAAGGCCGGTCGCCGAGCAGATAGAATTTCGTACAAAAATACGTGTCCAATACGCTTCAGCAACATGAAAGATTTTGACGCCGAAAGTCATTTCGCAAAATATCATTTGAGTACTAGGTGAGCACGTGATACTAGGTACAGTCACGTGATATTTTTCGGTCACGTGAAATTTTCATGTTTGTGTCTGGGATGAAGCAGCTTGAGATTTAGATCCAAGTGAGTGCGATACAGATACTAGGTCCGATCACGTGAAATTTTTCGGTCATGTGATATTTTTCTGTTGTCACTGCCAGAAGCTGGGTATGACTTGCACCCTTTAGGCCACAAGCTGGGTACGCCCATGTCAAAAAGTATTTCATAGAAATGCGACCTTGCGAACTTGCACCTATGTTGACTGATTGATCAGAGTAAATACAAATGAGTAGGTCATCTTCATAGAAACGCCCGAGCGCGGTTTGTATGTGAGCGCGCCAATACGTATGCGGCGCGCACACACTGACAAAATTTAGCGGGGATTAGCGGGGAGGTGCGCTGAATTTTGTCAGTGTGTGCGTGCGCGCCGCATACGTATTGGCGCGCTCACATACAAACCGCGCTCGGTGCGTTTCTATGAAGATGACCTACTCATTTCTATTTACTCTGGATTGATGGAGTACTAATTGATTTGATTTGATTTGTTTCCCTCCAGCCACGCGCCGCAAGAGCTATACGCGTACATGCGGCGTTGCCTGGCGCTCGAGATGGAAGTCATTCAGAGCGCCATGGGCCCACAATACGCGCCACCCACCGAAAGAAAGTATAGCGAGGTGAGATATCATTAAAGCCTTGGGCAGACCAAACGCAGGGCAGTAGCAGCGCAGTTTGAATGCAGGCCCGCGCAAGTTGTAATACAAGAAACTCTTTGATGTCACACCAAAAGACAATGCCGGAAATTGGCGTCTTTTTTTTTCGCGCGGCCATCGATCAAACTTTGTTTTTTGATTACAAAATAGTGTAATAAACCAAACTTACTATGACATGTATACCTCTAAACTCAGTCTGAACTGAGTTACGAGCATTAGAAGTTTGATGATCCCTTAGAGAATTGTTTAAAGAAATTGGCATTCTCACGGCCGCACGGTGGTCCCGATTTAATAAAACATGGACATTGANTGAGGACACTAATCGCCTTAAGTTAGTCTGTCTTGATTTCAACAAGTTAATACTGCGGCTGCGGCATCTTATGTAGTTATACCTAATACTCGTAGTTACTTTTTTTGCAGCAATAGTGTGTAGTCTGATGGGTTGTACCCCTTCAAAGCCAATTTGAGTTGTAACCTTTTCAGCGAAATTACAATCTAATCATAAAGTTTTTACAATTCAATAAGTATGTAGTCTGTATCTACTACAGTTACCTTGAAAAATAACAAGTAATTAATTATTCTTAGTACACTCGCGAGCAAAAGTATGGAATCACTTACATGAAGTTGTTTCCACGCGATCTTGTGTACTAACGAATTTGTTAGTAACAAAAAAAGTAGCACCATTTTAAAGATTAAACTTTTTACTTTAAATTGATACCAAATTCATTTAAATCACACCAGTGCTTGTCGGTGACCTGCCGTCAGTTTCCAGCCTGTGGCAGGCCTTTTTGGATTCAAATTTTATTGCTCATATCTTAGACGAACTGTCCACTCGCTAACAGCTATCCTACGAACATTTCTGAGCTCTTGCTGGACGTCGATACCAGTCAAATGACGATTTCGTAGAGAAGTTGACACGAAAAAACGGTTTTCCCTCTGCGATGTGCACCGGCAATGTTCAGAACTTGGTCTCAGGATAAAGCCACCGGTATCCCGAAAGCGTCTTCAAACTTTCGAAACCCAGGACTGGCTTATGTGGAGCTGACGTGCGACAGCCCGCTGGCTGAGCCCTTCTTGCAATAGTGTAACGATTTGTGCTGCTTCTGAAGGTGTAGAATCGCAGGTAAAGTGTCAAAAGAAGCGGAGATGTGTATGGATCAACGTGTGAAAGCAAAAATCCGAAAACACTTGCTTTTATGGGGGGTAAATGGGCCGCAACTCGCGACGTATCAACCAGTTGATACATGTCTTTTTCGTTACTTCTTCACATCAACCGGGATATCTTTTTAAATACTGGTGTGATTTAAATGAATTTGGTATCAATTTAAAGTAAAAAGTTTAATCTTTAAAATGGTGCTACTTTTTTTGTTACTAACAAATTCGTTAGTACACAAGATCGCGTGGAAACAACTTCATGTAAGTGATTCCATACTTTTGCTCGCGAGTGTATGTTCATTAGATTGGTGTCTTATTTTACATCTCACATTCAAGAAGAGAGCTTATTCGTTTTATTACCTGCTGCAATCTTTTGCGATGAAAAACTGCAAGGAAATTTCAATTTTATCTCTTTGCAATTAGTTTAGAATGTCTTTAATGACAAAGTCGGCAAAAACACCTTCAAATGAGATTCTATAACTTAGTTTTGTGACAATATTTCCTAAGAAAAACGAACATCACTAGTTATAACTAGTTACAACACTAGTAGATACTAGTTAAACGCTTCAGCAAATCTTCAAACGTCATCAACCATTGGGCTGCCGAGCTGAAAAGAAAAACTACGGGCAACGCCGCGGGGCGGCGCTGTCGGCTATTAATATTCCAGATGCGATGTGATCGACCGACAGACTATTACCTCAACGCTGTGCGGGTTCCAGTCCTGGGAGGTAGCGACAGCGATTCTAAAGCGCTTATGGGAAGACACGATATTAAGCATCAATTTTTAAACCCAAGGAGAGTATTTTTAGTAGTCAAAGACAATAAGGTAATAATCTATTCTTACACTCCTCCCTACTGCTCGAACAGCACCATCAGATGAATTTTGCTACCAAATTATTTTGAATTTCTTTGCGATCGATCTAAGACAGCATTAATGTTGTTTAGAGGACTATTTTGGTGTATCTCTTACTTATTGTTTTATCAAACGTCTTATGATAAATCACAATAGTATTTGTACCTAAAGAAATACAATGCTAGTAGACAGTGATAGTCTACCAGAGAATGTCAGCGACACTCTCTGACTGACCAGTACTGCCGACGATCCAATAGGAATAGACTAACGTCTCGTCCGTAAGCTCACTATCTCTTGTGGAAGTCGAGATTACTAATCATTTTAAAAAGTAACGCTTTAGCCTATCCCTCGCACCGTTCGTTATTTCGTCTAGATGTGTAAGCGTAATGTGTGGGTGATTTATCACTAGATTCCAACGATCAATGGCCCAAACCCTTTATGCGAGGTTTGGAACGCGACCTATATAAATATTAGGAGGGAATTCGCAAGTCTTCAAATGTATACAACTGGTAATATGAGAATATTTTGACGTCGTAAAGCTTGTGTATGAAAAGGGATTGAAATTAGCCAATCGAAGCTCACAAGCTATAAATATGATTTGATGGTATATTTGTGATCCAACGATCCATCACATTTTTCATGGAACGGAAACATACGAACCTAAAGAGTTGGTAATTTTTCTGTTAAAATTTTGAACCTTATTCAGGTTCAGAATCTTAAAAGAGAACACTTAATAACATTCTATTGTTAGAGGAAATTTTAATAAAAGGACAGTAAAAATTTTGGCGCAGAATAAATCTATCCAAATCTATGAGGATTCAGAGCCCCTTCAACACAACCAGTAAATTAATTCTGACACAACCCCACTCAAAATGTGGTTTCATGAAAAATACGCCTATAAACGCGGTAGTAAATAAGCGGGGGAGCTATTCTCATATATTACGACGTGGTTTGCCGAAGCCCCGCTCTCGCGTTCGACTCTTGTTTGTTTTGGCCATGACACTCACGTTTTTCGACGACAAATATCGCCAGAGTACTATTGAAATACAGAAAAAATACAGAGAACGTCATATGGTTCACCCCCAATCTACCCGTATCAATAAGGGGATTACCTTGAATGTATTCGGAAAGTGCTGGCGAAGAGACGTGAGATCGATGTGACGCCTTTACGCGTCCCAGAGTGGTAACAAAAAGTCATTCTAAAGATTCTGATGTATTTTTTTTTCAGTTTCAAGCATAAAAATTCTGATTAGTGATGTGACGCTTACGTTCACTGCAACTAATTAACATAGAAAAGATCGTGTCCATAACAGCGTATTACAATTGAAAATTTCGACGGGTTCATTCAGTGTCTAAGTACGAGTAGCTCAGTTGGAAGAGCAGTCGCCCTGCAAGCG